CAAGTTTATTGGTTGATCGGCGAACTTAATCGGGCCTCCAATAATTAATTCGGGTGTATTCCCCTCCCACAAGGCGATCTGAGTCACAACACCTTGAGCACGAATCCGACACAGATGGGCACGCCCACTGTGAAAGACGGCCGTGTATCGCGTGGTCGTAGTCCCCACTGCACATTCTCCCCCTCCCCGGGGGAAAAACGAGAGCATAGAGTAACGAAAAAAAATCAGAGAAGATAATGTGTGTCATATAGTCAACAAAACCGTGCAGGTGGCTAAAAGGCACGTTAAATACCCGAAAGAAAAAAAAAAAAGGTAAAAAAATATAACTCTGTCCATGTTTTGTTTACGTTCTGAGTTTACATTTACGTATACAATGTCGCAGAATATGCTTGCTTTATCTCACTTGCTTTGTCTTGATATGTCCTTCTTCACTTGATATAAATATGTATTTGTTTTCAAACAATAATAAGCGTATTCTCTCACAATCAGTCGTAAGTCTGATGTCTTAGAGAATAAAGACAAGACGTATATCAAGTGATATAAATATACTAAATAACTATATAAAATATCAAACGTATATCAATACAAAAGATTGTTATTTTTCTAATTGTAATATATTTTATAATTTTTATTTCTTCCACAAAATGATTAGAAAGAAAAATTGAAGTAATAAAACACACACAAAGCGATATAAAAAAAAGCAATCAAAAGACAACATAATTAGCTCATAAAAAAATGACAATCAAAAGATGACATAAATAGCTCATAAGAGAATTCAAAGGAATATATTAAGCATATTCAAATCAGAAGGATAAAATTCGGCTGACTCAAAAAAAATACATTAGATGTTATATAGACTTCCGAACTAGTCTGATCTAAAATTACTCAATTTTTTAAACGGCATCTGAGAATAAAAGAAACAATTAAGTATTCTGCACTAATTTTAGACTAATTTTAGTTATTCTTTTTTGAGAACTTTGTATAATTTATTGTTGAAACGACAAATGATTGTCATAACCGTGTAAATAGTAATAATAACGCTTTAAGAGATTCATGAAGCACTTCTCTTGCTGAAATATATTTTTTCTTTTCTAAAACTATTGATGTCGGAAAAAATTATTTCATGTTGAATATTGGTCTAATGACGAACTTTTGAGAAGTAAAATTGGCAAAATAATGCCTAAGAATCGATTTTTATATTAACTAAAAATGTTACATTTTAATACTAATGATGAAAGCAGATGTTAATAGATTATATAAAATACACGAAATCTGTGATATGCTTAGACAAAGTTTTAGGAATGCATTCTATCCATTCCAAAATTTATGCAGTGACGAAAATTTGTTTCTATATAAAGGTAGTTTGTCTTTTAAGCAGTATATTCCTTCGAAAAGAAACAGATTTGGGATTAAATTCTTTATTTTATGAGATTCTTAATCTTTGGATTTATTCAAGATTTGTGTATTATTTACAATGAATTTCTGCCTAATGTTAGCTGCAAAAATGAAAATAGTGGAAAATCCGGGAATATTATTGTACAGCTATTAAGATCTTATTTAAAGAGAGATAAAGGCCATACATTATACGTAGACAATTGATACACAAGTCCAGCTCTGTTTACTTTTTCACACAAAAATGGTACCAACGCTTGTGGCACAGTGAAAAAAAGACGCAGAGGTATGCCAAAAATAGATAAGAAATTGAAAAAAGACAAAACGAGTTTTTGCTCGTCAAAATATTTACTAGCCATGAAATAGTATGGCAAAAAAAAGGTACATATGCTGTCTATTTTCGACACTAAAGAATCTGGTAATAGAAAAATACATTATCATACAAAAGAAATGATCTCAAAACTAAAGTGTGCCGTGGATTATAATCGTTTGATGGCCGTAGACAAAACAGTGCGTGAGAGTTCGAGTGCGAGTGCGGAGCGGCGATAGAGCAACCATTGGACGAAGATAGTCTTTTGGAGGAGAACAAGGCGGAGGAAACGAGTCAGGGACTCACGAAAGCGATCGGAGAAGACAGCACTGGTGAGGTACAAGCTCAAAACCGATGAATTTCTTTTGTAAAACACTATAAAATATATATTTTGTTTGACGTCTCAAAAGCACTGGCCCGCCGTTAGTATCGCGTGAGACTAGAAAAGTCTCTTTTATTCTTTTTGATTGTCTAAATTCGAGTTGTTTCGGTAAGGCGAGCAGCTGCGGCGAAAGAAGTTCTATTGTGTTGCGTCGAGTGAGGGAAAACAGCTCTTCTCTATTAAATCTAACCGCTTTGCCCCGAAGGATCTTGCGTCGCTAACTAGCATAGATAGAGCCGCGTGCGTGTTTAGTTTCGGCGAATTTTGATTGTCAAGAATATCCGCGAGCTATCGGACCGCACAGGTGCTATCGGCTGTTGCGAGATTACGATCGAATTTACCATTTTGTGGTCGGATCACGGTTTTGAGGTACTATTGGCTATTGCGTGAAGACACTCGAATTTATTCGACTGCGATAGAAATACGAATTAAGGATGCTATCGAATATTACGAGTCTATTATTTTCTGCGTTCGTTTGTGAACGGTTTACGAGCTCGAATTAATGCTCTCGGATTGTTTCGGAGTTAAATAGCGGCGGAATTGTTGCACAATCGTTCAAAGATTTCGACGAGTTATCGAAATTCAACTTGCGGCGTAACGCTTGACTTGTGCGGCAATATAGCTGTTATTGAACCGTTACTGATCCGGAGTATGTTGTCAAAGCCGGTCATTGATTCGGAGCACAGTGGTCCAAAATCCCAAAAACGTGGCAAAAACTCTAAAAATGAAGTTTTGATCTAGGAAATTCTAATTGTTGGGCTATAGTAACAATGTGCCTATTGAATGGCAAAAGAGAGAAGAGTCTATCTTTTATACCTAAGTTTATGCTTCAATTCAAAGTTAGCTTTCTTTTGAACAGCGTGTTGTGTGCATCAGTACAGAAAACGCTGTCAGTACGAACTTTAGATGTGCATAACTTCTGTAAAAAGTTATCAATTTGAATTTTACAAAATGCGTGGTATTCCTGGAAATAAGTTGAATATTTATTTGCATCGAATAGCCGAAATTGTCGGGTTGAATATTATATAATAACAACATTGGTTTAGAAAAAAAACGCTAAAACTTTTGACAAAAATTTTACAACTATAGACAAAAAGTTATATATCACACAATATCATGACAAAATTCTTGTTCAGATTTGTAGTTTATACTTTTATCTAACACATTTGTAAAAATTAGCTGCTACTTTTTGCTACTTTAGTATGGTTATTTTATACAACGAGATCTCTTATATGCCCCTTTTTTAAACAAGTAAAAAAACCACCAATTATTCGCGTGTTTTCTATTAATTGTCACTTACAATTCAAGCTGCAGAACCAAAAGAAACTCAAACTCGGACAGAAGACAACTCATTTTCTGAAAATTCAGATGACTAAAAGTCAGATGAAGAAAATTTATTAGAATACTTTATTTGTTTTTGTCGCGAAATGCTAATAAATTTGTTTGAATTGTAATTTTTACTCAACAATTTATTAAAGGTAATTTACAATGTAATGTGTACTGCGCTGCAAATTACGAATTGAACTCATGCGTTAGTGCGCGGTTTCTTCTACCTTCGGATCACGACTAACTGCGAAAAACAGTCGACTACAGCTAACTGATAAAATTTGATTTTCGCTGAGTACTATGTTTTCTCGCTTCACGCCGTCTGCGCAACTCGAATGGCAACCAGCGCACATCTCTTATCTCTCGCACGCTTGTCAACAATATCCAAACAGTTTTGTAAACTTTTTTTTATCCAATTTGAAATGTAATAAACAATTTTAGTTTTAACTTATTCAGTTTTACTTATGAATTTTATAAAACTTCTATGATACAAATTATTTTTTTAAATTTGAATCCACCATTTTGTTGTTTTTACTTTTGACTTTAGATTCATAATCAGCGACCTCAAAAACTTCGGGATACCAACTTTTATCTAAATTGAAGTACAGTTTCATATTTTTATCATGTTTTTGGGATTTTTAATCATTGTGCAGCGGGCCGAGACTAGCGAGTCTCATACACGAGATATTTACCTCGCGCGGCTCCGACGTCAACGAAAAACATTGTAACATCTGCTAATCTTGCGCTTCGCGAAACGAAATTTATTATCGAAATTTCGTCTGGGCTGGACGAATCCCAATAAATTTTTGCATCCCGATTTCCGAAGAGAATTTCTCTGTCAACTGACGAAATCTAATATCGTTGTTATAATCTTAATTTATTTTCAAAAATATATTTTGTTATTTTTTTATTTATTACAAATCGGTTGTCGCGTCAAGTGATTAACACAGACCTAGCTTACATCATCTTGCCCCTCTCCGTTCGGTTCGGAGCTAGTCGCCCAGGATTTTTTAATCGATATGTCCCGTAGTTGACACGTGTGACGTGTGTCTGGCATTTAACATCTTAAAAATCCCGACAATCTCGAAAATCCGGAATCGCTTCCGAGTTCAAGTGCTACTGATCAAGGTCAGAGCGGAGACAACGAGTCTTTTTCTAGCAGTATGTTTAAGCAAAAAATACGTTGCACAGTAAATAAACATTGTCGGTAAAATGGTTGTCGGTGATTTCAAAGTAACTCATCAAAATCACGTATCAGTTGAAAAGATAAAATTGATACAAAAGTGTTGAAAACGGTATTTTTTTGTATATTTATTAGTAATTTTCTTAGAATCTTGACGTGCTAGGCAATTTATTATTTACGGCCAGATTTGTAATCAGCGCTAAAAAAAATCTACTAAAAATCACTGATGATATTTTTAAACCTGAAAAAAAGGTCAAGTTTGGTGATCAATGTCATTAAATCATTTGCATCATAAAAATATAACTTTCCTTTCTCCTCGGACATTGATTCTGTCGGCCATCTTGTCAAAAACAGGATATAAAGCCGGCTCTGGTGACTGGCACAGTAGTTGGAAAAAGTCACGAACTCTTAAACAAACGCTTGTCGGAAGAACGTAAGTCTGAATACGCAATAGGCTTATATTTTTTCTCTCAAGCGTCACTTTTTCCCCCATTATCAGAGTTGCAAACTCTGACCGGTTAGTGCGTGCCCCCACCTCTTCGGTGTTCTCGGTGCTAGCTGTTCTCTGCTCTCTGAGTGAGGGACTAAAAATAAATCCCTCAAAGTTGAGAAGCAGCTCGCTCTTTTTTGTTACTCTTCGTCTTTCAAGTTGTGAGTACTCTCTTAAGTGCGAAATGATTAGCTACGTGTACAAGTGCAAAGTTTGAGTAGCCAGTAGGGATTAAACTAAAGGGTTGAACTAGAGTAAAACGACCCGATTGAAGAGGTGCAAGTCGACAAGAACAGATCAAACACCGGTGAGGTAAACTTAAACTCAGTTATCAAGTTCATTAGTGGAATATCCAATATATGAATTGTAAAAAAGATGTTTTATATATGAACTGGATTGCGAGGTGTGTTATGCAAATTAATTTATACTCTTGTAGTAAATTCAGACGTTTCGACTATGTATTTTTAGTCATCTTCAGTGAAGTTCTGAGTACAATATAGGCGGATATAATTGGCACAATTATTGAACAAAAGTGAGAAGTAAAAATTAGTTTTAAGACATATTTCAAATCCGACCATCACTCGTGCTCGAATTAACGACGAAAAAAAATTAAATCAAGGTGTTAAAATACTGAGTAGTCAAGTGTGTCACATCGTCAAGACCGAGACAAAGTCAGTAGAAAACGTTATATTCAAAGAATTAAAGGTATGTTTACATGTTATGTTGTATAAATGTTACTTAATATTATCTAAGAGCGGTAGATACAAATTATCCAATAGTTCTGTGTCTCTCATTCTGTTTAGACTGTGTTTTTGCAATTTAATTTGAAGCATTTTGGATGTTAGTTAGTTCTTTTAATGTAATTAGTTTTGGAATCTAAAATGCGAACGGAGTCCCAATCAATTTTATGGTCAGTGTTTATACAAATGTCCGGACAGCGCAGAATCTCTATTTTGAGATTTAACACAATTTTTTTGCTCTTTTATTCGCGCGGCAAGTTGTCGTTTCGTCTGGCCTATGTATGAAAACTCGCACGAGTTGCAAGGTGCAATAATGTTATACTGTAAATGGACTCCCACTTCTTTAACCCATTCAAATAGTCTTGCTCTGCAAAATAGGCTTCTACACTGAGAAAAAAATACTATTAACTCAACTAAATGCGTTTAATTGAGTTTCAGTTTGTTATCTGAAATACTTGTGTTTTCAATTCAAGCATATGGTAATAAAGATAATAAATTCGTATAAGTTGAATTAACAATAATAGTAATGAACATATTTAATTCACTAAACCATGAATTGTTTTGTCGAACATAAGTTGTGATAATTTCAAATAAAAGATATTGTTAAAAAAGATGAAATAGGCAATTCTCATTTACTTTAATTGAATATAATCTGAATTTCTTTGTACTAAGTATTTCATCTAATCAAACTGCTTATTTTTATAAGCAGACAAAATATTGTGTTGTCCTATTGTGTTGTACATTCAAAGTTATCTGTATTTAAGCAAATTATAATTTTGTTAAAATAACTAAATTGTCTTTCGGTATAACGTAATTATTATATCTATTGAAACATATCTTCTTACATTAATCAATATTTCATTGACAGCCCGTGACCGCTGCATATAGTTGAAGCAAATACTATTTTGTTACTTCAACAACTTTTTTTTCTCAGTGTACGGATGCGATAATCTCTTCGTTCGATGAAAATCTCTGTCTTCCGAGCTAAACTGTGAACGCAGGAAACAAGAAAAAGTCGCTACGGACCAGATCTGAATACGGTGGGTGATTAATTAATTCAAATTGCAATTCGTAAATTTTTGCCATGACAACTGCCGAAGTGTGAGACGGTGCGTTATCTTGATAAAACAGCACTTGTTTCTTCTTCAAATGCGGCCGTTTTTTCGCAATTTCTGCCTTCAGCCTATCAAGTAACGATGCGTAGTACTTTTCCGTTATTGTTTTACCTTTTTCAAGATAGTCGATGAACACAATTCTATGACTATCCCAAAAAACAGTCGCCATCACTTTCCCGGCCGATAGAACCGTCTTCGCCTTTTTCAGAGCAGGTTCATCCTTTGCAATTCATTGTTTTGACTGTATCTTTGTTTCAGGAGTGAAGTAGTAGATCCACGTTTCATTGACAGTTATTAATCGACGCAAAAAATCCGACTTGTTTTGCTTAAATCGCTTCAACAGGGCCTTGGAAATGTTTATTTGAATGCGTTTTTGATCCACAGTGAGCAAGCGCGGCACCCAACGCGCGGTTAGCTTACCCATGTCTAATTCTTTAGTCAATATATGATAAACACGTTCTTTCGATATGCCCACAACCTCTTCTATCTCTCTAATCATGATTCGACGGTCGTTCAATACCATTTGATGAACTTTTTTGATGTTATCGATGATTCGATGTTATTGGCCGTTCCGAACGCTCATCATCAGTCAAACTGATACGACCATGTTTACATTTAGCTGCCCCATCTTTTCACGGTGGCAAATGATGGGGCAGAGTCCCCGTAAACAGCGTTCAACTCGGCTTTAATTTGCGCAGGCGTATTGCCTTTCAAATGCAAGAATTTAATCACAGCACGATATTCAATTTTTTCCATTTTTAAAAAAACACTGACATTGACTGACACAAATGACTGTCAAACAACAACTGAGCATCCAAAATGGCTATAATTTTCATAGATATCTCTTAAAGCATGTACAATTGTAATACCAGAATGATTTTGACGAGTAATGCCATCTTCATATTGAGGTTCAAAACTTTTCAAACGACCCTCGTAAAACGTGATCTATAAAGTCTACATAAATTTCTGATTTTTTACACAAATATCTTAAAATTATATTTGGGGAGTATACGGAGTTTTAGTTGTTTTCATACATGAGATGCAAGTATAGCATCCTGTATGATTTTAAGAATTGAAAATTTAAATTCAAAAACTCACGTATAAAAATGTACATGTGAACACACATATATATATGTATGCATGTATATATAAAAGTTTATTTTGGCATAACATCCTGCTAAAACGGCTCTTATAACTTTATTCATATTTTCTTAGTTTAGACTTTAGAGCCTTAAGTTTCTTTAATTGTTGAATCACGCTGGTCTCAGTATGCGTTGATCATTTATCAAGATCATCTTTGATATATGTATGAATATTACGAGAAAGACTCCAAGTGCCTCGGTGGCCTAACAAGGAAGGCGACGGCCCTGAAAGCCGGAGATTCCAGGTTCGACTCCTGGCTCAGGAGTTTATTCGCAATATTTTAAAATTAGTTCGGGGAGTATACGAAGTCTTTCATACATGAGATGCAAGTATAGCATCCTGTATGATTTTAAGAATTGAAAATTTAAATTCAAAAACTCACGTGTAAAAATTTACATGTGAACACACACATATATATATATATATATATGTATGCATATATATATATAAAAGTTTATTGCGGCATAACATTCTGCAAAAACGGCTCTTATGACCTTATTCATATTTTCTTAGTTTAAAATTATATATAAAGTTTTTCAATTGGCGTCACTACTTTATTATTATTATAATATATATCATGTCTTTTGTAGAATAAATTTTGTAGATAAATTTGTAGTAGTTATATATCACTTCTTTTATAGAAGAGATTTTGTAGATATTTTGTAGTATATTATAATTGTAAAATAAACAAAAGTTTACTTGGTGTTACTTTTTGATAACACTTCTTTTGTAAAACAGATTTTTTAAAGAAATAATTGTTTGTAGTTTACAATACAGAGAAAAAGAATTTTTTGTAGCATTAAATCAAGTTTTAATTTATTATTTAAATACAATACGTATTGTGCGTATACTTGGCGCTTGTTCTTTTTTTTAAAAAGGTAAGTTTTTCGAGATATCACACGTTTTGTATTTTGTAATATTATTGAAAACTTTTTTTCTCGCCGGCATTCATTATATACCACTGCAGCGATAAAACAATACAAGTTTTTCACACAGTTGTTGTTTGGCTGACCGGAAATTATTATATTACAAATGACTTACGTTACAAAGTTCGAATAATTTACATTATTTATAAAACTGCAAAGTGTAACGAAACTAGCGACAGTACGAGTCCGTCTCTCAATTCGTAAATACTTCCTTTCAACTTTTAGATACTTAGAAATTACTCAGAAAATTATTTGTATATTGTGAACAGGAAATCACATAATGAGTGTTAGCAGTGTTTACGATTATTTTATATATATATATGATTGACTTAGCAGATAAATATTTCTCATTAATTGCGTCGTGTTTTTTTATATATATAGTGCTCTCAAAATTTTTAATGTATAAATGCTGATGCCTTTACTTTTGACACGTACTATGTAAAAAACATACCTCTCTAAGTTATATATTCTCAGAAAGTTTTAGTTATTGCCTGTTGTGTATTAAAAAGATTATTAAGAATAGTTAGTGCTCGGTGTCTTAAAAAAAAATAATGTATGTAAGTGTGCGTACATAATTTTTTATTCGCTCAAATCAATCAGTGTAAAGTGACTATTCGCTACAAAAACAATGAACACTCACAAGAGGAAACTACGACGTTGTACAATCGATTTGAAAGAAATTTATAGGATCGATAGATGACTAAATTTTATAACTCTTTATAAAATATTTGATTTGTCTATAAAAATAAACGTCACATGGTTGACATAAAGGTGTGCACTTTGAAGGAACAACTTTAATAGTGCATGTTCCTGCATTGTCATCATCAAGAAAAATTTCGTCATACAATGCAGGATTAGTTTGACCGGGCCATGAATCTATTATTAAAAGAAATTTTTCTTTTTTTACATATAATAATAATATTTCTTTTAAATATTGTATATACAGATTTGTTGTTAGTTTTCCGGACTTTTGCAATTTTTATGCAATCTCATGAAGATTGCATAAAAATTCATTCAATCATACATCATCAATTATCCGCCCCGAGTTTTCGAAATATGTTACAATATGCATGGTTTGTTTCCAAATTAACAAACGAGAGAGAGATATTTGAATGTCAACGAAGTATGTTTTTTGTTCAATAGATATTTTAAAGAAACCATGTCAATGTAAAACTGCAGCGTTCATACGATGTGCACACTGTCGTGAAAATTATTGTTTCACTTGTTTTTATGACAAATATCATCCTGCATTATGTATTGTCCCATCTAGTTCAAATAAATAAGATATGTTGCATATATTTTTACATGTTGCGTACAATTATTTATTTGCTTTTTAAAAACACACTTAGTAAATAATCTATTTATTTTTACTGTATTTTTTAAATCACGGATTTTTTATGCAAAAAAATACACTTTTATAACATGTTTTAAATAAAAAACGTATTATTTACATTTAGATTATATTATAGAATTTAAAAAAAAAAAAAAACATATATATTGAGACTCGAACCAGCAGCATCGACACTACTAACCTAGTACGCTACCGCTACGCTACGCGACCTTTGATTGAACGGATTATTTCATATCCTCATAACATACCGAAATTTTCAAATTTGATTTTCTCGCGAATGCTTGAGTAGTGCATTTTATTATTTTACCCTGCAATACTCCACATAGTCATCTATCGATCCTATAAATTTCTTTCAAATCGATTGGTACAACGTCGTAGTCTCCTCTTGTCAGTTTGAAATAATGTTTGGCGGTATTTAACTATTATTGGTGTTATAAAAAACGCGTCTTGACACAATGCTTTTCTAACAAAACTTTTTGTGCTACACATTTTTAAGGAAGAATTGTGTTTGTGTAGTAAAAAAAATGTGTGATATCTTAAAAAACTTACCTTTTCGAAAAAAGATACGAACAGGCGCCAAGTACACACACAACACGCATTGTATTTAAATTAAAAATCTTAATTCAAACTGTTTTTTATTTATACAATTGAGACTAAAATGAACTTGATTAGTTTTAACGTTTTTGAAATATTGCTCCGTGAAAATTTCATCTCTTCTCAAATATCTGAATTTCGCGTATTTAAGAGGATGCTGAACCGTCGCGTAATCTTGGAATCGGCTACTCGGCCGCTTAGCAATTGCTATTGTATTCGTTGCTAAGCACTGATTTCTGCTGAACGCAGTCATTCTTTACTTTTCGTTGTTCTTTTGTCTTGGACTGTACTCGTATAAATTTCAATCAATTAGCAATGACGAGACAAAGACAGAGATCCTAGTTGTGATGCTCTCTATCGCAGACAGCTCGCACAATAGCAAGGCGCGTTCCATATTATAGTTCAGTGAGCGTAGCCGATTAGCCGAGTAGCCGATTCCAAGGTTACGCGGCGGTTCAGCATTCTTTTAAAAAGTCTTTGTGTGAAAGTCTTTAATAAATTTCGTTAACTGATTAAAGTTTTGATAGGCCATTCTTGTGTCAGGAATCTTAACGTTAAAATTATAGTTATTGTCAGTAGGTATGAAAGGGATAACGAAGTATTTTTTCCGTTCATTGTCAGTGTTGTATTCAATACTATGTTTTTTATTTAGGTTGGTGACAAATAAAGTTTTGAGTCTATTATTTACGGTTTTAAATATGAACTGCATGGGGTAATTGTTATTATATATATTTGTTTTATATATAATTGTTATTATATATAATTGTTATTTAAGTAAAAGTTGGAAAGCATAAGTTAAGTTCTTTTTTGAAAAGAAGAGTTTGATAATGATATAGCTCTATCAATCAAAGTGCAAATTGTGCCAATCTTGTGACACATGGGAGAAGTAATTTAGGTATAAAACAATATCAAGGATGAGGGTTCAATTGATAAAAAACAAATATGTGTAAAAAGACGGCGAGTATGAACCAATTATGCAGGGTGTTGTGCAATGAAACAATATGTAATGTTGAAGAGCGAAACGTTTCGACTGTTTATTCAGTCTTCATCAGTCGCAAGACTGCAAATATAATAATTATTTTACAATGTGTGTTAAATATAATTACAAAGTTGTTGATATGCAAAAAGACGGAAAACGCACCTTTATATACACTTCTATTTTAAATGATAACAATGTGTGTTAGACAATGGTTATAATGTGTCAAGATCGAATGTGAGGATTAAACTAAGAGTCAAAACATAAAAAATATGAAAAGTCAAAGTATAAAATATCGAGAGTCAAAGAATTTTATCGATAATCGGTAAGTAAGATTTATCTAATAAGTGAGTATCATTCATAATATTTACAGTGTTAGCGTTCATCTTAATGTGTAGCATTTCCGATGTGGTTTGTAGTAATTCATTTCTTTGTCTAGAATTTTAACTGTGTTCCAATTGAATTTATGGTCGGTGTTTAAACAATGATCAGACAAGACCGAGTTTTGAGATTTCTTTTTGACATAATTCATGTGTTCTTTGATTCTCGTGCCTAATTGTCTCCCAGTTTGTCCGACATAACAAGCATTACAATTTTCACATTCAATATAATACACGATGTTTTTATTCTGGTTATATGTAATGGGATCTTTATGAGTTTTAATATATGTATTTAAACGAGAAATGTTTCTGTATGCTAATCTAATGTTCATTTTATTTAAAACGCTAGAGAGAGTGTTGGACTGCTCATCGACAAATGGTATCAAAAAGTATTTAACATCGTCGGTCGACTGTGTGTCAATATTACTGTTATTTATATGATTATTAAGTTTTATATTAAATAATGTTTTTAGACATTTGTTGATGGTTTTAAATACTATATCTATTGGATAATGGTTGGCTATGAGAATCTTGATACATAATTTTAAGTTTTTTAGATGAAATACAGGATCTGACAGTAGCAGCGCTCTATCTACCAGAGTATTTATTGTACCGATCTTATGGCATAAAGAGTTTTGAGACAAAAAATGTAGATATCTACCGGAAAACGTTGGCTTATGATACCAGTCACAAGTCAACGTATTTTTTTCCACGATAATGCGGATGTTTAAAAAACTGATACAATTATCAGACTGGAGTTCATACGTAAACTGCAGTCTTTGATGTACTGAGTTGAAAGTATCGAGTACCTCATTCATTTTGTCTCTATGTACCGCTAGTATGATGTCATCAACATACCTGTAATACACTGGGATGTTAATTTGCAATGAATTTAATGCTTTAAGTTTGATGTCTTGCATAGTAATATCCGCTATTATCGGAGAGAGAGGGGAACCCATGGGGGTTCCAAAAGTCCGTTTATAAATTTTATTGTCGAATGTGAAGTATGTTGATGACATAACAAACTCTATTGCAATCAAAAACTCTGACTGAATAAACAGTCGAAACGTTTCGCTCTTCAACATTACATATTATTTCATTGCACAACACCCTGCATAATTGATTCATACTCGCCGTCTTCTTACACATATTTGTAATTCTGGTATCTTCCCGAGAATCTGAATCTTCCCGAATTCAGATACCTTAATCTTCCCGAATTCAGGTATCTTCCCTTTTTTGAGAAGTAATTTAAGTATTTTCCCGAGAAGATTGGTTTGTGGTACCAGTCATAAATTATTATTTGATTTCTCTTCATCAATTTCATTTGATGTTCAAATCTAAAAAGCTGAGTTGGTTGTTCGCTTGCAACTCGTGCGTAAATTTCAATCTGATGTGCATAGAGTTAAAAACGTTGAGGACTTCGTCTACTCTGTTCTCAGGAATTGCTAATGTGATGTCGTCCACGTATTGAAAATAGAAAGGAATATAAAATTTTTTAAAATTTAACGCTTTTAATTCCAAGTCTTGGAAAGTTATGTCAGCTATGATTGGAGAAAGAAGTGACCCCATAAGAGTACCAAACGATTGTCTGTAGATTTTGTTATTAAAAGTAAAATACGTAAGACAACACAAATCGCAAAGCTATTACAAACTCGTCTTGGCTTATTTTTGTTCCAAGTTTAATATATCTCTATCTCTTTACAACTCACTTGCTGGCTCAAGAGGAACGTTAAAAACAACGATGTTACGTCTAAAGAGCATAGTGTGTAATTTTCTTTAAGTTCTAATTCTGAAAGCGTGTTGTAGAAATGGAAACTGTCTTTAACATAAAAAGGAAAATATGGAATATTGTTGTGTAATATTTTGTATAAATATAACACGAATTTATGTAACGGACTATTTATCATAGATACAATAATTCTGAACAGACAATTGTTTTTGTGTATCTTGGGAACTCCGTACGCACGTGGAAGCAATGCGTTCTTAAATCTAGTGATGCATTGCTAATATTATTATCTATAACATTTTATATGTTCAATGTCTATTTATTCGTCTTTTTTTATTGTCACTATTTTTTGATACTAAATAACTATATTTCATAGATCATGGATACGATTAGAAGTGAATACACACAAAAAATACAGACTCCATTACAACAATTTTATGCAGGTCAAACTATTTTTATCACAGGTATTGCTTTATATTTTTCCACGTAAAATCTTTGATAAATTTGTAAATAGATACTTTTCAAATGTGTTTCAAAAAACACTCTGTATTTCCTTTATTATTCATATTATATTCTTATTTTACTTTATGTATAGGGGCTACTGGATTTATCGGAGCAGTCTTACTTGAAAAATTGCTGAGGAGTTGTACCAATATTTGTAAAATTTATCTGTTAATACGTCCGAAGAAAAACCAAAATATCGAAAGTAGACTGGACGAATTAATTGAAAATCGAGTGAGATGTGTATATATGTATTTATGCCAAGAGCACTAGTATATAAATATGTGCCAACGTACAATCGAGATCATTTATTTATTTAACATTTTTATTACTAGTTATTCGATCGAGTAAAGAGAGAAGTGCCAAATTTTCGACATAAAATTGTGCCGATTTTCG